TATTATAAGAAGTATTAAATTGTATGAAAAATATGAAGCATGACAAAACAAGATTTCTCAGTTCTTATTGGCCAAACTCTAGGAGGTGATTCAAGAAAAGTTCCAACAAAACAATCCATTTGATTATTTCCAACGGAAAATGAGTTAAGTCCAATTTTGTCTTTTCATAAGACGGTCTCGTTTTCTTTTTCGTATGAAGCGATAGCAATGAAATTATTTAATTCTGATAGTTAAAATTGCTTCTCATTAAACTGGACTAAATTTCCTTCAAATGCGAGTATAGTTTGTCTTAGTAAAAACCATTTTAAAGGGGACTTTTGAGCGTCCGAACTATGCTAGTTGTGCTCTCCAATAAATCGTGGATTAGTCGCGATATTTTTTTTATCACTCTACAGATACTACACGTTTATAAAAGCTACCTTGTTTAATAAGATTTAATTGAATATCAGTTTATTTGAGGTTTGTTTTAGAATAGAGTTGAGATTTGAGTGTAATTGCATCACCCATAACCAATATTTGAGTGTAAATTGCATCACCCAGTAAAAATTTTATTTGGCTTACCAGATTGCTACTGCAAGATCTCCAGATATTTCTTCGCTAGTTTTGAAACGATATTCTAATAACAATCTAAGTGGCCAAATTGTTAGTTTTTTTTTCTCCTCCCATTTATTTTCTTTTACACCATGATAAACTATGACTACCATTGGTTAATGGTATACTATTCTCGTTACTATTTTCCATGAAAATTCCTTTACTTTATGTAATGGCACAATTTTACTGTTTTTTGATAAGGACAGTTTTTGATACCGGTCATAATTACAGCTTTTATCCTGGCATTAGTTAAAACTTTTTTTAAAACTATTTATTGAAGATATTTACAACTGTATTACAATATAAATACATCAAGTAAATGTGTACACAAGAACATAATCACTTGAAAACGCTTGTTGAGAAACTACCCACAGGTAGCACTCTAATGATATGTTTACATATGGAGATCACGGGGCAATCTTCTTTTCAGACGCCTCGGAGTGTTATCAAGAATCGAAGAGGAAGCAAGGTTAGAAACGAGAGGATTCGGACGGTTATGAAGTTTATTATTGAGGGATAGGTCTGGATTGGACGAGATCGGAAACATATGGAACATTATGGGTTATTTTATTTAGTACAAAGTAAGGAGCATTGAGGATTTTACGAAGGGTTTTGGATTGTAAGGATTGGATACGAGAGGAATTTGTCATGTATATTAGTCTTTTGTAATTAATTAGAAGTTTAGAGCGTTTGTCAAGTAAGTATTGGAGTAAGCGGAAACGTCTAGCAGTTTCTTGTCGTTTCAGTCTTGTACGAGGATTCCAAGTGAGACGTTTGTCCAGGTGGAGTCCAAGATATCGTATTTGTTCAAGTGGGGAGTTTTTAAAGGATACTGTAAGACAGGAAGTCATAGGATTACGACGAAAGGTAAAGGTGATTTGTTGGGATTTAGATGAATTTATTTCAATCCTCCAGTTTTGACACCATTCTTCAAAGTTTGTGATGTATGATTGAAGAGTTCGGGATGTAATTGATGGATCGTTATTAACTGATAGGATACATGTGTCATCGGCATAGGTGGTGATAACAGTGTTAGGATGTGTTGGGATATCAGCTGTATAAACTGTGTAAAGGATAGGACCAAGGATATTACCTTGTGGAACACAAGCAGATTGAGAAAAGATGGATGAATAGGCTTTATTATGATTTACTTTGAAGTGTTTATCAGTAAGGTAGGATCTGATAGTGTGAAAGTATGTGAGGGGGAGATATTTACGGAGTTTGTAGAACAATCCCGGGTGCCAGACTAGATCAAACGTCAAGCTAAAACTGAACTCAGAAACATTGTTAAAGTTTTCTTGTAACTTTAGTAAGTAAAAAAATACAGAAACATTCAATAGAATCAACGTTATTATCATAAGAAATAGGTGATGCAATTTCAATGACCGCAACTGTGTGTGATTTGATATTCTGTCACTCCTTAGCGTCTATATATCAGAAAAAATAACAACCTAGAAACTATTATAAAGCTTTAATTTCTTCATTCTCCTTTAATTAATGAAAGAATCTTAATTATGAAAATAAACTGTTTATTCATTTAAAAAAATTTTGCTTGTTCAAAAATTATCATCTAAGATGATATTGGATTACAACACAGTTATCAATTCTGCAAATTAATCCTTATGCTATTAAGTAACTATCCATATGAGAATAATGTATTCTAAAGAAGTTATATTTACAAGAAGTAAACTATTTATTTCAAAAATAGCCATTAAATCTCCTTGAAATGGTTTCGACAAAGACAAACTCTACTTGTATTTGATTGAAAATTTATGTAGTTTACTATGAACCAATTTTTACTTACCCGAGTTAAATATTTTGTATTATCGCTTCCTATGAAAGAGAAAACGTGACAACCTTAAGAAATAGAAAAATTAGATTTATCTCCTTTTCCAGCAGAAATCAGTCCATACATCACATGAATTTTTTTGTTGGAACTTTTCTATAGAATCACCTCCTTTAGTTTGGCCATTAAGAATTGAGTCACCCTGTATATTACTCCTGAATGCACGGAACTTCAACGGTAATAGTTCCGGAGGCATTTCTATTCCGTACTCGTTGGACGATGGTCAGCGATGTCCTACTTCACTTGAATAGCAAGTGCACCATTGCTCGGCTTTAGCTACCAACTAGAACTTTTATTCAATTAAATTATTTTCAGAATTTCAACTGAGCTATGAACTATGACCTATAAACAAAAACAAATTTGTTTATTTTTACTTTCACTTACCTATATATGGGATATAGAGTATTGCGGAGTAGGAATAGTATTGCGATCGTGAACATTTTGGAATTCGAGTTTTCAACAGAAATACACGTTTTGAGGTCTCCTGAGTCCAAATAACCAAATTCCACCAAATGGTCTCTGTGTGTGTGCGTGTATGTGAGGAGTCTAGCTAAAAAACGAAAAGTCGTATGAAAGTGAAATTGCGCATTTGAAGTATGTTACAGCAACTTTTTTGTAAAAATCGACTAGCCGGAAGTGGCAATTTATATCATCGATAAAACACATTTTTACGATTTACTCGAAAACGGCTCCAACGATTATGTTCGGACTCGTTATGTCAGTGTAAAATTAAGCAGTTTTTAATATTATGTAGGTTTTATTCTCATTGATGTTCTCTAATAAGGCTTAAATGGCTAATTTTCAATATTAGTTTCCTTTAAAGTACCTTTAATTTTTTTTAATTTGAAACGATGAACCATTTCACACTGATCTGTAATATACAACTTTTTATTTCTTTTTTTTTTTTTACTATGTCTAAGTAACGCCTGCTTCATTAGTCATGCGTGCTTTTGCAGTCCAATACAATTTTGCTCTCCTAGCATAAGGGCTGTCCATTTCATTAAAGGAACATCTTATGTCCTGTAATGCAGGGCATGTATCAATATACATAAAACATAGTCAACTAAAGGAGAAATATGATATCGTAACAGAGAATGAGTTGTAATGAGGGAACCAAAGGAAATCGAGAGCGCGCACGAGCTCACCCGAGCTGGCCCGAAGATTAGAACAGGCTTCCATATTTGCATGAGCTTAATGTAATACGGACTCCGACAATAATATGTACATATACACATACGGTTTTCCTAAACGTTTTCTTAAATGTTGGTATCGTTTAATATTTAATTGTACAGATTACGATATAAATATTAAAATTTGTATATATGAGGGTACTTAACCAAATAAAAATATCCACAATGAAATATAAATCAATATAGCATTAATAATTTTTACTTTCACTTCCCCTTGGTATGAAAATACTTATTTCTGCTAAGAAGAGGGTGGTAAGTGAAAGGAGTGTGGTGCGCTCACCTCACCAGATTTTTAATAATATGAACTTAAATGAATTTGTAGCTAATAGAAACCTATTAGGGCGTAAATCAAAGTGATCTGTCGAAAGTAAACAAGTCATCAGACGTAGAACTCTCGTTGACTTGAACTTGGAAGCCCAAGCTTCCAAACAAACGATTGCTTGTATTCAGACTATTCGATCATTAATTATTAAGATAAACGATTAACTCATAGTCTGTTCTATGTTAATATATTCCGGATGGGTCAATCTGTTAACTACTTCAGGTAATCTCTGAATTGGGTAATTAACTAACTATGATAAATGACCTACACACAGTACTGTCAAATTGATGTCTATGTATTGTGTGTTGTCCTTCCCTCAGTTAAGTTAACAGGTCAAAATAGCTTTTGATAATTTGAAATGATTAGTAGGTTAAGTAAGTTCGCAGAAATCAGAATCTATAATGCGGTTCCAGGAACAACCTGTATTGTGCATATATGGTATTGTGTCAGTTAGCGATGGTGACCTATTAAATACAGCCATCATAATTCGCTTCAACCTTCATAATTCGCTTTTGAATAGCTCAGTACAAAGAAGATGAAGCCATATATAAAAGATATTTTAATCCATATATAAAATCGGCTCTAGCCGACTTTACCCGTGCGTTAATGCTCAACGAAATATGACGGATCAATCTGATTCACTCTCCACAGTGCAAAACGCATCTAAAGAAGTTTAAAAACTTCATAAATTTCTCAAAGCCTCGATTTTCTGAAATAAATGTCAATACCTAACACGCCGATGTTTCGCCAGTTCAGGCACTGACTGGTCTTTATAACCGAAGACCAAAAATATTTATCTACTAGATGCACATCACTTCATAGCATCGAAAAACATCTTTTCCATTTCACCAAGATATATGCTTGTGATATTTTTTTTTATTTTCTGATCATTCCCGAATTGTTGAAATGTTGGAGGTTTAGTTGTTTATTTGCCTGAGAGAAAGTCGAGGATTCCAGTTTGGAATCTTTCAAATGCATCCTAATAATTAAGTTATATTTGCTGTTAAGTTTTCGCTTTTTTTATGTTGGAATGCTTTTGTTACCCTTGCAGGTTCCTATCCACGCAGCACACCTGTACGACGCTGTGATGATCTACGCGAGGGCCCTCACCGAGGTTCTGGAGGCAGGAGAAGACCCCAAGAACGGAACCGTTATTCTGGAGAGGATACTCAATAGAAGCTACAGATCCGTCCTCGGCTATGATGTAAGTGTTCTGTAACATGTACATATATTATTGTTTTATTTATGGAACGTTTATGAATTTGATAGCATCAATAACTTTTAAGTTTATTCTTACCCACATCACATGAAAAATAAAGATTGATAGAATGAATAAAATAGAGGTTTTTTTAAAAGATACAAATGTAAGAGAAGGAGGAAACGAAGGAGAGAGGAAGGAAGGGATAGAATCGCTTGAGGCAAACCTTACGGAAGAAGGACGCCGACCTTACCGCCACCGGAAGGAAATTGAGCTCTCTCGCCGCTACTGCATGAAAAAAGTTATTAGAAATTTCTGTTCTAGCCGCCGGAATGCTCCCTGTAATCTTTCACTGTGTACTTCTAGCAATCCTTTCCATAGATCTGCAGGTTCACCAGATTCCAGAACTTTTCTCGCTAGACACATCAAATTGAGTCTCTAATACTCCGTTGTTCTCAACCAGCCTAGTGTATTTATGTACGGAGTGATGTGGTCTTCCTTTTTTACACTAAATATATAACGGATAGCGGCGTCGAGTGCTCATGTACTCTGGCATCTTCCGATTCGGATATTTCAATGAACACCGAGTCACACTTAAGTCAGAACTGTATGGAGTGCAGTGCATGTACTCCGCTCTTGGCTAAATCCATTCCTGACTGGAATGGATAGAGTATTTCATTGTCTTCTCGGTCTCCTTTCCAGTATTTTTGACACCACCTGCAATAGAGCGATTGGTCCGGTAATCCGGAGGTGTAACTGGCTTTAAATTTTTAGGAATGGGTCTGAGGATTGATCTTCTCCAAGCTTCAGGGAACTTACACTGTTGCAGTGTTGCGTTTAATATATCGATAAAGACGTTAGTGACCCCACCTTCTCGATCATTTTCTTTGTAAAACCATCCACTCCAGCTGCACCCGACCTCACACGGCTAATACTCCATACGACATCGTCCTCAATGATCTAATCAAAGATGAGGTCATCTACACGTTCATTTGTCGGTATAAAATATTTAACCGCTCCATCAGGGCCCAAAGGATGTGATGCGAAAAACCGATTGTGTTCATCCAGGTTGCACAGAATATTCCCATCTATCTTCTTGACATCAATGACTCGATGGTTTCTAAGTTCTTTCCATACTTCAGGGCATATTTTCTAAGACTTTCCGATGTACACTTCTTCCTAGCAGCTCGTATAGTGGTCTTTACTTTATTTTTATAACGTCTGTATTGGGTTACATCATCTAAAGATCCGCTGTTTTTAGACATCCAAAAGAAGAAATCTCTCTAGCCATAAGAGACCTGACATCCAGGTCTATCCATATCTGACATCCAGAGAGAGGGCTTCGTTCAACGTCGTCGATATGGTCTAAGAGGTGCATGCTTCTCGAAGAGCTCAGTAATCTTCTTATGTTGTTTATATTATTATGAGGAGAATAATTAAAAAAAAAAATAATAGAAACTTTTCAATTTCGTATTTAATACTGCTGTTTTATTAAAATTGATTCTTAAACTTTTCATTGGGTTCTGTTTAAACTCTTTTGAAGGAAAAAGGAGTTTAGGAGAAACAGAGATTGAATATTTGTGTTTAAAAAATCATAAGAAGATATCTGAAAAATAATCTTTTGAATGATACCATTTAAGTAGTTGAAAAAAAGAAATGAAACGAAATCACGAAACGTTGTTAACAGGGATATCTTTTATTCACGCTTGTGTGGTTAAGATTTACAAAAGAAAGGATTAAATTAGGGAATGAATGTTTCTTTAGATTTAGAGTTGTTTGATACCCCAATTTGTTTTTCCTTGTTAGATAGGGAGCTCTATAATGGGGTACAATTTTCGTTGTCTAATTTGTGGAATTCCTCTTTCAAACCTCTTCCTTTGGTTGTAATACTTTTATCTTTTATTTTTATTTATTTATTTTTTTACTCTCCTCAGAGAAAATTATTTTTTTATTTCTAAATCAAGCTGAAAAATGCATTGGTAATCTATTATAAAATTGACACATTTCAACACAACTCAACTATTTTTTTAATCTTTCTCCTTGTGTTTTTACAAAGTACATGATCACGGTGATTTGGTGTGAGCGAAATATTACCCTTTGACCTATAAGTGTGTAATAGTGGGCTGGTTTATGTATCAATTGCTGTGGACTGTATATGGTTTTGATCACTGAAATTAAAAATATAGCTGGGCCAGCACTAAAAAACTAAAGAGTTTTTTTTATTTACTGGAACTTATAAATACAGAGTAGATATGCTAAACTGAACCAATCTAAACCGCAAGTAAAATTCTCCAATTAAAAATATCCCATCAACCTAGAATCGATTGAACCATCAGCATGTTTCAATACAAAATAAAGTTACTAAGAAACTAATCATACTGTAATAGATTTGGATACACCTAAAAGCAACTTTGAAATAAAGTTATTAATTCACTACTGCATATTTTTTAGTTCATCCTAGATACAATAGATTCAATCCACTATCGCTTAAATTCGAAACATTGGCGCAGAATTTCGATTTTGAATGGGCGATGGCCGATGGAACAAAAAAAAACAAAAACAAAAAAATATGAACGGCCGGAGTTTTAATTATGTGTAAACATTCTACATAATTATTGTGAAACGAACAAGAGAGAGAATCACTTTATTATCATAAAATGGTGCTGCCCAATTACATTGGGTTGCTAAAAACACAGCATACTTATTAATCACTACAGACAATTTTTAAAATAATATATAATTATATAGGATTAGCAATATGTATGAGCATAGTACACAATATATATATATATATATATATATATATATATAATATATATATATATATATATATATATATATATATATATATATATATATATACATATACGTATGTATTATTTTTTTTTTTGTATATCATTTTTTTATTTCTTTTTTTTAACATTTAATTTCCCTTTCTCTCTCTTTATCTATCTTTTTTTCAATTTCCCATTAAATAAATACATAAATTAAAAGTAGCCTAGGCATGCACGTGGTGGTGAATGATTCCCAGGGAGTCGAGGACTATATTTTCAGACAACCTCGCTACGTCTTTAATGTCGACACCTAGTTGCTCGAGGATGATCCTTGTTCTTTTTGGAATTGTTCCGCTAGACCCAAACCAGAGGCCTCTCTCGGTGAACTTTCTCTCTCCGAAGGTCTCACGGAATTTCTCTTTTAGTAAAGGGATACATTTATCGTACGTGTTCTTCTTTTCCCTTTCCACTTCACCTGCCTGATCGAGGTCATTGCTCTCAAAGGGGACAGTTGGATCCAAGATCAGCGCTGTCCTTCCTGTATAATATTGAAAATTTTAAAATCAATTTATTTATATGTTCGTGTAGTTGAGTTGTAGGGATTTTATTTTTATTCGTTTTACTTATTACATATACTTCAAAATACCTACAAAAAAAATTACAATTCAATATATAACGTATTTGTTTAGATTAAACGTGGGGGAGAGAGGAGACAGCCTTCATAACATTGGTACGTTTCTTGAACTTCTTCAGCTAAAAATTAATAACGTAAAAAATTGAAAAATATCTTTTATTTCGTAGTGTATACAACCTCAAATAAAAATACAACGTTTTTCCCAGTCCGACTAGTTTTCCCCGGAAAATGTATTAAAAATATCACGTGAAAATTTAGGGGTGGTTGAATCATAACATCCTAGCACATGTTGATATATATTATTATATTTAAATATAAATGACTATTTATATAAAAGTAAAATTTAGATTTCAATAAAATAATTCCATACCAAGTACTAGGTCCTAGCCTAACCAGCTAGTCGACTTTTCTTAATCGATTTTAAATTACATACATTATTCATTCATGTAGCTTATTTATTTTTTCCTCAAATTATTGGGGGAAGGGAGGGAGGAAACGAAACGATATTCTCGCCCCTCAACATTTTTATTGGGGAAGAGCGCCCCATTGAAGTCTGCGCTTGTGATCCAAAGAACCACAATTAAAGCCAAATTACTATGGTAATATCCCCGACTAAGAAAAGATACGCCATAATAAACTAAACTATAATCATAAAAAATACCGAGTCAGTGATGTTAAAGACTAAAATTTACAAAACTGAAAATTGCAAAGGAAAAAAAAATACTGCTAAATTATAATCATCCTGACAAACTGAAATATTTAGTTAGCAATTATAAAAGAATAATAAGACAAGTCTGTATATGCCTTGTACACAAGGATACAAGTCAATACAACAGCCAACATGATGAAAATGAAAAGTCTGAACACAAATAACCACTTTTCCGAGCTAACTTTCATAAAAGAGATGATATACTGTGTGGATACCCTTCATATGGAATATCCTCCACGTGTGGCTGGCTATATCTTCACATTTGTGATGATGAACAGGTTTCCTTTAGAATTGACTTTTCTTTTTTTAAATATTCACGATGATCAAATATGCAATTTGAATAAATTTAAAGTTAGATTTTATTTAGACATCCAATTTAAAAATACATTACTTTTTTATGGTTTTTAATTTAGAAAGATTGTTTCCGCAACAAAGTTGCCGGATGCTCAGTGGAGATGGTAGGGTTCGCAAAAAAAAGAAAGAAAAATAATCAAGTGTCAATTAATATTACTAACTATCTAACAGGTGCCACGCTATTTAATTGATTGAATTTGGAAAATAGCGAAAACCATAAAAATAAATAAATAAATTTAATTTAATTAAAAAAGTTTGGACGCGGAGTGAGCTACGAACTCGGAACCTATGGGTTTAAAAACATATTTTAATTAACCTCATTGAACCTTCTTACTCGGTTAATATTCATTTTCTCTAATCCCTCGAATAGGGTTTTACAATTCCTTATTAAACCTTAAACAAAAATATATATATAATATATACATAAAACGTTAATACAAACTAAAGAAAACGAAGAAAATAAAACTGGCTATTATTAATACTAATGATGAATTTACTTATTTCTATTGATTTAAATAACTGTTAAAGGAAATGA